AGAGGGCCGAGCGAGGAGTGTGCGCCGCGCCGCGGCGGGAGCTTCACTCTCGGGGAGCAGGCGGAGCGGCGCTCGCCGCCTGCGAGGGCCTCGCTGCTCGCCCTCTCCCCTCCCCGGGAGATGTGTGCGCCCCGTCCCCCTCCCCCATCTCTGGTTAACTCAAGCTTCGCGCGGCCCGCTTAGCTCCGACCGGAAGAGGCGCGCTCTCGACCTGCGAATCAAAACATGTTCGCCCCGCCCCCTTTTCCGCCGCGCAGTTGCGCGAAGTCGACGCCAAAGCGTCGATGCTGAGAGCCAAGCTGTGCGTTCGTACTGCTTCTCATGTTTGAGCCTGTTTTTGTCGTTGAGGTCTGTCGCAGGCCTAGAGGTTGACACCAACACCAACATCGGCGGTGTGCCTCCACCGAGGGAAGGAGATCCCGATCTCGGTGATGGTGGTAAGGTTCTGGCTTCCTAGATGACCGACATGCTTCCACCAACGCCGACATCGAGGATCGTCTTCCCCCTGTGGAGGCCCCCCCCCGTGTTGGTATGTTGGTGCCCACTTCCATCGGGGGAGCGTAAGACCCGGGTTTGCCGGGACTCGGGTTCGCCACCGTTTTTTGACGACCGCGCCTCGGATTTTGACGAGGGGGAGTTTCGTGGGATGTCTGCAGCGGGAGGCCTCGTCAAAATGCAGGCTCGGCCTCGTCATTTTTTTGACGACCTCGTCGGGGATTTCCGAGTCCCCCGTACCCGGGTCTTACGTCCCCCTGACTGTGGAGGCACCCCCCCGTGTTGGTATGTTGGTGCCCACTCCCAGGCCGCCAAGTCTGGGCGATAGCGGTCGTGATCGGGCCGCTCCCTCCCACCCCCCCCGCACGGACCACGGCGAGCCATTTTACGGTAGGTTCGCGTAGTGTCGACCGGCGGCGACCCCGCCGCCGACGTTCAAGGTTGAACGCCGACGGCGGCCCAGAATCGGTCGATGTTGAACGATCGGACGTTGCGGAGACGGCCGATCGTTCAAGGTTGAACGATCCAGCGCGGTGTCAGGAACCAACGCTGGGGTCGACACGGCACGAACCTGCCGTACCCACATGTGCAATGATCTCCTACGGATGCCTCGCGGCTTTCGCAGACTTCCGGCGGCCCCCCGCCGTGATGGGATCGGGGGGGGCGAAGTCTCCCCCCCCCCAACCCTTCGCCCGATCGCGCCCTCTATCGCGAATGAGAGTAAAGAACAGGCTATGTGTAGGATTGGTCGTCCTCGATGGAACCACTCAAGCGGCCAGCTGGGTGGCAAAGGGGGCGCTTGTGTGCAGCGCCCCGCACTTGCCGGATACGAGTGAGGGGGCGGCAGCGCTCGGGCCAACCGAACACGGGCGCAGCCTCGAAGTGTAGCGCCCCCCCCCCGCCCGTGTGCAGCCCCCAGGATACAGTTCCGATGTGCAGCCCCAGAAGGTAGCCTCCAAGTGTAGCCCCCATGTGTAGCCCCGAGGTGTCGCTTCTGAGTGTCGCCCCCATATGGGTCGGGTATAGCCAGGACCCCAGGTAAGGGGACCTGGCTAGTAGTAGGGCCCCAGAGCCCCTAAATTGGCCAGAGCCACTAAACCAGGCCTGCCGTAGCTGGTGTTTTTTGGGGTGACGGCAGTCCCGGTTAGTGGAACGGGGCGGGGGGGGGGGGGGCGTCCCCTAGGACACATCGCTAAACCAGGTCCCACTAGACCCAGTTCTGCCAACGCCCGAAAGAGGCCCCCAAGTGCAGCCCCAGAGTGCGGCTCCCAACTGTAGCCCCCAAGTGTATCCCACATGTGAAGCCCCTAAGTGCAGTTCCCAAGTGCAGCCCCCATGTTTAGCCCCCAAGTGTAGCCTCCAAGTGTACCCCGCAGAAGCCGGGCCCTTTATCCAGGCACGGGCGCTTGGAGAGAGTAAGACCGTTCGGCCCCCTCATTTTGAACACTATGGAATAAGGATTTGTATCGAAGGTTACGTAGACCATCGCGCAGGGGTGCACCCAATCCATCCGAAAATTGCAGCTACATCACCAGGCACGCAACAACTTCGTGGAGCTATCGAGAAAGATGTGGTTCTCAACGCCTCAAGGAACGAAATTGTCTTGATACTTCGATGTGTAAGAATCCTTTGGGCATCTTGGCGGCTCAGATTATGAAGCGGAGGATGAGGAGGAAGGCGAGGAATCAAGTTGCTAATGATGCACATGATGCCATGAGGATGAGGATGAGCGAAAGATAGAAGGCGGTAGAGACAGGGAAATAGGACGGGAAAGCGGAATGGCGGCACCCCGTCGGACCTTCCAGGGCCACCGTAAAGTGGCGACAGCTGCAACGTTTGGCAGGGCCCAGGGAGGCTTAGTTCTCGTCTGGCCTGCGTGGTTGACCACCTTGCTGGAGCCCCAGAGGCACGAAAGCAGCGATACAGTCGGACCGAGGTATAAGATCGATGTCGGTTCGGGTAGGGTGCCCTCATGTTTTTCGTGTTGATTGGATGCTCTTGTGCACCTTGGGAAGGGTACCCCTGGCTGTTTTGTGTGTGTGTGTGTGGTTTGGCTGGCGGCGGGTCTCATGCTCCTGGATCGGGGGAGCGTAAGACCCGGGTTTGCCAGGACTCGGGTTCGCCATCGTTTTTTGACGACCGCGACTCGGATTTTGACGAGTAGGAGTTTCGTGGGATGTCTGCAGCGGGAGGCCTCGTCAAAATGCAGGCTCGGCCTCGTCATTTTTTTGACGACCTCGTCGGGGATTTCCGAGTCCCCTGTACCCGGGTCTTACGCCCCCCTGACTGGAGGACGCTCTTTTCTCCCAGGGGCCGGCGGTAGCTGCACGCTGGGCAGACCACCCGGGGAGGCAAGCCATTGGGTTGGGCCCGCGTGGCTCCACCACTCTGCCAGCTCCCCCCCGGGGGGCCCGCGTGGCTCCACCTGAACGAAGGATTGCAAAAAAACCCAGGATTGCAAAAAGGATTGCAAAAAAACCCTTCGGGTTTGCAAAAAAAACCTTCGGTTTTTTTTGCAATCCTTCGGGTTTTTTTGCAATCCCTCGGGTTTTTTTGCACTCCTTCGGTTTTTTTGCAATCTGCCGCCGTCATGTACATGACGACGGCTGCACGCCCCGTGGACGTCCCGTGGTCGCAGGCTTGGGCTTCTTGTGGAAGGCCTCCTGTGGTCGAGCTCAGGATTGCAAAAAAAAAACGAAGGATTTTTTTGGTTTTTTTTTGGTTTTTTTTTGCAATCCTTCGGCTTTTTTTTTTTTTGCAATCCTTGGTTTTTTTTTGCAATCCAATGTACCGCTCTTTCCCTGTTTGGGGTCTCTCCTGGGAGGCCCTCGTCGCCACCGCTGGATCCGCCTCGAAGTCCTGGTCAGAACGCACCCCGGGGGAGCAGCGGTATCGGTACCCTTTTGGTTTCCCCGCAGATGTTTCTGGGCCCCTTCTCTTTGCTCTCTGATGCGTTTGCGCTCTGCTCCTGCGCTGCACCCGCCCTAGCCCTCGTTCTCCCTCCTGCTGGCAGGTCGGAAACCAGACGATCACCGGCATCATGGACACGGGCTCTTTCGAGTTGGTGATCTTCTCGACGAAGTGCGTCACTTGCGGCAAGGCTGCGATGGCCTCAGCAGCAGGGCCGGCGGCGTCACCTGCGGCCACACTGCAGGGCCGCTTTCCCGTTCATGTCCCACTCCGCCCCTCCCTCCTCTCCCGCTCACCGCTTGCCATTTCCCCGCCTGTCACCCCTCTCATCCTTTCCTTACCCTGGCCTCCCCGACAGCATTCCCTTATGCGGTCATCTCTTTCTCCAATGTTATTATATTGTTTTGTTGCTTGTTCTCTCGCTCTCTCTCTATCTTCCTCTCTCGCTCTCTTCAAGTATGTGTATGTACACTTGCGCACGTACATGTATCAGTACTTGCATCTGGATTTGCACATGCATATGCTGCAGTATTTGTGTATGCACATGTGTATGTGTATGTGTGTGTGTTTGAATTTGTATAGGTATATACAAAGGTGTACGCATATGTGTGTGCATACTTGTATGCATATGTATTTGTTCAGGTACATGTGTAGGTATCCTTGTGTTTACGGTTATTCACATACATTTGTGTATGTGCATACGGGCGGGCCTTGCGGAGGACGAGCTCAAATGCACAGGCCCAGACCTCTACCATGGCGGCGCCCCGCCTCTGGCCAGAGCGCTACCACCGCAGCCCCGCGACGACACATACGACGATTGTGCCGACCAATGGCCCAACATGGACGACGAGGATAGGTTCAATCTCGGAGACAATTTGGACCAGATCGACGACGACGACGCCGCCGCCGCCGACGACGACGACGACGACGGCGCCGATACTGGTGCAGCGGCTTCCAGCGCACAGGCCGGCCGCGCGGAAACCTGTCCAAGCGCTGGATCTTCCAGGGCCCCCCTCTGGGGACCTGGACCCCCCTGGTGATGACCTCTTTGCCGCCTGGGGCGGCGCCCTCTCGTCCCACGGCGACGACCCTCCCCGCTGGGGCGGCAACACGGACAGTGACGACGACCATCCGATGGGTCCGGCGAGGCCGCGCCACAGCAGCGCCAGCGCCCACGACACCGCCGCGTCTCTCCAGGTCATCCCAACGGTCTCCCCCTCTCCAGGGTCTCCCTCCCTCCCTCCCTCCCTCCTCCTCCTCCTCCTCCTCCTCCCTCCTCCTCCTCCTCCTCCCTCCTCCCCTCCTCCTCCTCCCCCTCCTCCTCCCTCCTCCTCTCCTCCTCCTCCTCCTCCTCCTCCTCCTCCTCCTCCTCCTCCTCGTCCTCCTCCTCCTCCTTCTCTTCTCCTCCTCCTCCTCCTCCTCCTCCTCCTCCTCCTCCCTCCTCCTCCCTCCTCCCTCCTCCTCCTCCTCCATGGAGGGAGGGAGGGAGGGCGGGCGGCCACGCCTGCCCCTGCCACTATGGCCGCTCGGCCCGCCGAGGGGGCGAGGCCTGCTGCGGTGGCGAGGCCTGCCGTCGACCGGTGGAGAGCGCCTCGTGCAGGCAGCCCTCGCGGCCGCGGCCGCGGCGGCCCCGCGGCCGCGCGCCACCGCCCGCGAGATGGGGCCGCCCTCGGGCAGTCGCTGCCACAGTCTGCCGCCGCCGCGTCGCCGCCCGGACGGCGCCTCGAGGTTCTCTCCCCGGCCGCCCGGGCACGCCACCCGTCAGGGCCAGCGCGCCGCGGCAGCCTCCGCCGCCGTGCCGACGGCCTCCGCCTCGGCCGCCGCCGGCCCCCACGTGCCAGGCGCGGCCAGAAGGCCGCCCCGTCTCGCTTCCAGGTTGCCGTCTGCTGCTGCTCGCGGCTGATGCGGTGTGATCCCGATGCCGTTCCTGGCCCTGCCTCCCCAAACAGGGAAGCAGGGCAGGTGTTGAAAGGTGGCGCCACTAGCCGAAAAGGGGGGGCTGCCCCAGGAGGAGAGGGAGAAACGCGGAGGGGGACGACACGGGAGGGGCCAGGGGAGGAAAGCACGCACGACGAGGCGAGAGAGAGAGGAGGGAGAGGTCCCAGCCATTCACCGAACCCCCCGAGCGCCCCCACCAATGGGTACGGAACGCAGAACAGAGAAAGTCGGGGAATGAAATGGGAGGGGTCGTTAGGGGGTCGGTCAAAGGCTGGGGCCTATAGATCAGCGGTCGCTATGGGCACAAAAGAGGTGGTGAGCAAGAGGGAGCCCTTGAGGATCAAGAGGACAGGGTCGAGGTATTGCGATGGCCAGCGACATCGAGCCTGCTGGAGGCGGTGCAATCAGTACGGTGGGGCGGCAATGTCACCAGGTCAGGAGGGGGGAAGACCTCAGGATGTGATGGCAAAGAAGAAGTGGGGATCCTGGTGACTCTAATGGGCCGACTGGTAGGCTGCAGTTGGCATGCTCTTAGAGTGGAGGCTGAGGGCCGCATTGGCCAGCTTTTTTGGAGGTCCCAGCAGTAAGGTCGCTCTTTGGGAGTGTGGGGAGGGCCAATCGACCCAACATTCTGGCAATCCAAGGCGGCGGTAAAGCAGACTGAACTCAATGGGTGCAGGTGAGAACGTGACTTCAGCGGTGAGAAAGAGAAAAGATGAATGCGGGCAGTGGGTCTAGCAAGGCAGGCACAGCCTCAGAAGCTGCAAGGGTGTAGGTAGGAAGGCAGAGAGCATACAACAGCGAGTCGATGGCCGCGGCTGCTGAGATGAGGCGGGGGTGCCCCGATGGCCACTGGCGCGTGGCTAGCTGTGGCCGCGGCCGCCCTGGCCCTTGCCAGGACGGCCCGCGGTGAGTCCGAGCTCCCACCATCCCCGGCAGATCCCGCCCAAGTCCCCGCCCATCCCGACCGCGCGGGTGTGTGTGTGCGTGTAAGTTAGCAGGAAAATCGGGCCGGACGAAAGGGGGGGATTGCTATCCCCCCCTTTGCTATCCCCCCCTTTCGCCCAGCCCGAGAAGAGGCGCGAGGACCAGGAAGGTGGTGAAGGTTGAGGGAGGAAGGTGGATTCAGGTCCCGAAGTGGACGTAGGCGGCGCAGGTGAGGCGGTCGCCATATCCAGGGTGTTGCTGCAATGTGTCCGTCCGCTGCCGCAGGTGAGGGAGGTGGGGGTGTAGATGCGCTGGGAGATGACGGGATCGCACGGTCAGCCGCTGCGAGGTCGGTCCGGCCCTGAAGCGTGGCCTCGGTGCAGTGGCGTCCAGGCGGGGTGATCCTGCTTCGCTCGGAGAGGGTCGAGCGTGGGAGTCGTGGACAGAGTCAGGGTGTGAGTGGGATAGGTCGGTTGGAGGGTACGGTAGGTTCGCGTCGTGTCGACCGGCGGCGACCCCGACGCCGGCGTTCAACCTTGAATGCCGGCGGAGGCCCAGAATCGGTCGATGTTGAACGATCGGGCGTTGCGGCAGCGGCCGATCGTTCAAGGTTGAACGATCCCTGCGGTGTCAAAAACCAACGCTGGGGTCGGCACGACACGAACCTGCCGTAGGTCGGTTGGAGGGTAAGTCGGAGAGGTTGGAAGGGCATGGTGGCTTTGCTGTGACGGCGTCGGGCGCGTAAGCACCTCGTTCGGCCGCCCGGGCCTTCGCGGGTGATGGCGAGGATGGCTATCGCCAGCGGTTAGGGGCGCAGTTGGTAGATGGACTCGTTGGGGCAGTCGATGAGCTTGGGCACGGATTCCTTGGCCGCGGTGGTCTCTTTCTGGATGCCGAGGGCTTGGTTGTAGCTGACGTGTTGTTCCCCTACCATCGTGGCGAGGATGTCGAGCTTCTCCTGGGTGTCGTTGCGTTGGGAGCGGTACTCGGTGATGATATCTGGTATCAGGGCTTGTTTGGTACTTCGCATGTTATTGGTCTGACTGATGGTGCCGCGTGCCCATAGGTCGTTGTTGTTGTTGTAGGACACGCTGAGGATTGTGACCTCGTCGCCCTCGTTCACCGTGATTGCGCCGTGTGCGATGGAGACCTTCAGCTTCGCGTGGTACGGGTGGCGCATGGTTGCTCCCATCATGTGTGATCGTAGTGATGGGGGGGCATCCAGTGGGCTTCAGCGGTTCGATTTGTATGGCAGGTGTTTGGTTGTCGTTTGCTGCTGGCGTGCTGTCGCTGGGCGTCGGGTCGGAGCTGCTGGGTTCGGTAGTAGGTCTGCGTTGCTCCCCTGAATCATGCTCCTGCTGCACGGTCTTGCCCTCGTAGTCGATCATATCAGTAGGCTGTTTGTTCTCTGACGGTCCGCATGGTAGGTGGGGCTTGGCATCTCACTGGCTTCGCTGCTGGGATGGCCGGCTATGAGGGAGTGTGCTCTTGGTTGGGAGTCGTTTGTGAGGGCGTGGTTGCTGGCGTTGTGCTAGTGGTTGCGTCGCCACTGCTCGTGGGTGTTTCGTTGTCCGATAGGTGGGCTGTATTGTTGATTGCGGTCTGCGTTGTGGCTTCTTTCTCGTGCATTGTCTCTCCCTGTGGGGTTGACTCTCGCGTCGGTAATACCGTGATGTGTACCGTGTACCTCGAGCTCGAAGGTGCTGTGGTCGTCGCATGGTGCGAGCATTGGTTTTGGGCTGCGCAGCTGCTTGATGCGATGGATGATGCGGCTTACGCGAGGAAGGCGCGGGCCCCCCTCTCGCATGCTTGCGACCACGGGCATGTTGTTGCCCAAGACGAGGAATGACCTGGGGTCCTGGTTGACCTTGAGGTGAGAGAAGAAAGTGACGCCTGCGAGGTCGCTGTACCATAGATGTGCTCGGTCAATCCAGTCGTGCGCTTTTGGTCTCTGTTGGTATTGGCTCCTCAGTTTGTCGAGTGTTCGCGGATGGTTTGCCTCATAGTTTTGTCGGCCTGCTCTCGTTTGACTGGGAACTCTGGTATTGGAGGGTGGTCGTTGAGGGAGGGAGGGGATATCGGCCTGAGGTTGTGATAGAAACAGCCGTCCTTGTTGATGCTGGAGGCCTCGACACTCTGGTCAGTAAGCTGTCGAGTGCAGCATGGGTCGTAGTTGACGTCGCCTGGGAACTCCCACTGGGTGCTGCCTCTCTGCCGGTTGTGGTAGTAGGCGAGGCTTCTGTTTGCGTCAGCGTGGGCAGTCCAAACTGGTGGCAGCATCGCGTTGCGGGATGGGTCGGGTCGCAGCGCGTCCCCTTGGTTGTAGAC